CTCCCCCTTGTTCCCCTTTATCTCTGAGACATCCCATCCGTTGCAGCCTTAAATTTGGGCTTTTATCAAGGGCTTCTTACTGTCTCTCTCATTCCAAGTCTGCTCTCTCTGGTCCCATAATATCTTTCCTTCTTCCTAGTTATTTAAAAGCATTTCCCTCTTTAATAAGCTGGTTGGATCAAGAATAATTGATCGGGAATCCGTCCCATGGATGTTTCTTTCTCCCCCGGATTTTTCAATATCTTTTCCTTTAACGGGGAGGGGAGGGGAACGGTGGCCCTTTTATCATTTGCAGAGTTCAATTTCCAATATTTCTGAACCACCTGGCTCACGAAATCTGGGAGTTGAAGACAATCAGTCAATCAGTCAGTCAATCCATCAGAGTAGAGCTGGAAGGGGCCCTGGAGGTCTTCTAGTCTAGCCCCCTGCTGAAACAGGAGACCCCACTTGAAATCCACAAGTCATATAAAGGGGCCACACTTCCCCACCTCCCCTTTTGCACAATGTTTGGATCAATAATTGATGGGGTGGGGCATCTCTCCAGTTTTTAAAAAAGTTTTTTTTTCTCTTTAACAGGATGCTGGGGTCAATTGTAATAGATCAGGATTCGTCTGAAGGATTTGCTTCTCTCCAGTTTTTAAAACAATTTTCCCTTTAACGAGCTGGTTGGGCCAATAACAATGGATCGGGGTCCGTCCCGCGAATTTTTCCTCATTCCCAATTTGTTCTTTTTAAAACACTGCAGTTCTTCTTTAAGAAGCCAGCGAAGACGACCGCAAGAGCAACAACCATTCACTTCGGTTTCCAGCCTGGGCGGAGTCCAAAGGGCGTCACCTGATTCGGAGGAAAAGAAGCGAAACTAAACTTTCTCTTTCCTTTTGGAGGCGGCGATGGCGTCCGGAGCGTCTTGGGAGGGTTTCCTGGAAGAAGCCACCTGCTCCATTTGCCTGGACTATTTCCAGGACCCCGTGCTCATCCCGGAGTGCGGCCACAACTTCTGCCGGGGCTGCCTGACCCGCAGTTGGGGGACGTCGGAATCGGAGGCTTCCTGTCCCCAGTGCAGAAAGACCTTCGCGCCCCGCAGCCTCCTCCCCAACCGGCAGCTGGCGCGGGTGCTGGAAGAAACCAGGCGATGCGGAGGCCCTTGGGGCGAGGAAGGGGGGAGCTTCTGCCCGAAGCACCGGGAGCCCCTCAAGCTCTTTTGTAAGG